GATCTGATGAATATATTTAAAGAGTTACATCAATATGACACATTTGTGAAATCTCTCAATTCAACATTTATTGTGCTTATTGCCAAGGTGGAGGATGCTAAAGACATTAGACAGTTCAAACCTATTAGCTTGGTTGGCTGCATCAACAAGTTCATTTCCAAAGTTCTTGCTAGAAGATTGACCTGGGTTCTTGGGGATGTTATTGGTGAGAACTAGCATATGTTTGTGGAGGATAGACAGATTTTGAATGTGGTTTTGGTGGCTAGTGAGGTTGTGGATGAGATTGTGGGTAGGGTAGAGGAAGAGATTTTATGTAAATTGGATATGGAAAAGGCATACGAACATGTGTGTTGGGAGTTTGTGGAGTATATGTTAGGGAGGTTGGGAATTGCTAGGAAGTGGATGAAAGCTTGCATGACAACAGCTTCTTTTGCAGTCTTGGTCAATGGTGGCACTTCGACTTGCTTCAAGGCCTATAGAGATTTGAGACAAGATGACCTTTTATTTCCATTTTTGTTTATTATTGTTATGGAAGTCTTGGACAAGATCGTTGAAAAAATCAGGGAGGTGAACTTGATCAGGGGTATTGTGGTTGGGAGTGGTGGTGATCAATTAGAAGTGTCTCATTTGTTCTTTGCAGACGATACATTGATTTTCTGTCAACCGGAAAAGGAGATGATCATGAATTTGAGATGTATTCTCTTAATGTTTTAAAGTTGTTTCTAGGTTAAATATCAACTTGTAGAAATCTAAACTAATGATATTGTGAGTAAGGGTAATGGTGACCGGTTAGCTAATGCTCTTGGGTGCAAGATTGTTAATTTGTTTATTTTAAATACTTAGGTCTTCCTTTGGGAGAAAAGTATAAGGACGTGAAATCTTGGGATCCGGTGATTGATTTATTTGAGGTGGAAGAGAAACTTCCTTTCAAAAGGGGGGAGATTGACTTTTATTCAAAATACTCTCACTAATCTCCTTGTTTAATATTTGTCCACTTTGACTATTCCTATGAAAATTGTCCAGAAATTAAAGAGCATTCAGTGTCGTTTTCTATGAGGGGATGATGAGAGAAGTAGAAAATATCATTTGGTTAGATGGGATGATGTGAAGTAGCCTAAGGGGTGGGGGGGCCTGGAACTTCATTCATTGGTAGATTTGAACAAAGCTTTATTAGGGAAGTGGGTGTAGAAGATGC